TGGATCATTCTGGATTTGTGACTGCTGCTCAAGGAGCAAGTGGCAGCCATGGCTAGGGGGCCTTTTCCCAAATTCATCTTATGTGCCAGATTGTACCTATTCCTGGACAGGGAGGCTCTGCTCACCATCACTCATACTTGGGTCATTTCCTAATTGGATTACTGTTACATGCTCTACATGAGGCTACCTTTGATGACTATCGAGAAGTTACAAATGGTCCAGAAGGCAGTGGTGGCACACAGTTCTGGCCACCCTATGGTCTGCCTGTATTACACTGTTGCTGCACAAGCTGCACTGGCTCCCAATTTCTCTCCTGGTGCTTTCAAGGTGCTAGTAATCACATTTAAAGCCCTACATGGCATGGGGCCAGATTTGTAGGTCAGCCCCTCCCTGAGGGTATCTACTTATTTCACTAGGTTGGATAGGCTGAGCGCACTCCAGGTTGCTTCCTTTAATGTTGTCATCTGGCGGGACTCTGGAAGAGCACCTTCTCCATAGCCCCTCTGCCCTGTGGAATACTCTCCCCTACCCTTCTGGCTTTCCAGGAGGCTTTAAAAAACTGGCTCTTCCCCCAAGCTTTGGGCTAAGGTGAGGCTGGAGCTCAGTCAATGTGTATGTTCAGGTGTGGGGAAGTTTTGCTTTTGGATGTCAGGAGCTGTTCTGATGCTAGTTTTATGCTTTATTGTGTCCTTGAGATCCACCCAAGGTTATTACACAAGATGGGTGGCCATAGAAGTCTTTTTGGATAAAGAGAGAGAGAGAGACAGAGATGATTGCTAGATATATAGATACAGGAGAGAGACAGAGGTAGATGATAGAGAGATATGGAGATGATAGAGAGATATGGAGATAGATAGATAGATAGATAGATAGATAGATAGATAGATAGATAGATAGATAGATAGATGAGAGAGAGAGAGAGAGAGGGAGAGATGATGGTAGATTCAGATAGAGATAAGGAGAAAGGCTTTGATTCTTTACCAAGCTTGAAGTCTGGACAGAGTTTGCTACAGTTCAAAGCATCCACAACAAGCATTTGAACTCGAAAGAAGTAGCCGTCAGGGTTGAGGAACAGCCGGTTTGTCTTGTAAAGTCCATTGTGGTTCACCAGCAGGGTCACCAAATATGTTCCTTTGTATATCATGGCAATATCGTGAACAATGCCATTCACCACTTTTTAAAAAGAAGAGAGTGGAAAATTAAGTGGGATGCTGATCCTAATTTTACAGTAACGGAAGGCTATTTCTAAAAAGCACGACAGTATATAAACCACTTTTTAAAGTTCAGGATACATGTAACAATGTTAAAATGTCATAAGTGCTGTGAGGCTGTGGAAAAGGAAATGTGCTCAGCATTTGGTTGGAGCATGCTCCAACAGGCAAGTTCTTCTGAGCGCTGTAAAATATATTTCTACTTATTCCTAGTTTTCTCCTGTAGATTTTGGTTCTGGTTCACAATAAAGCAATGGTAGCAATATTAAGCCTGAAGCATATAATCCAACTGAATTTAACAGCAGCCTAAAACAGCATACAGTACAGTTAAATTGGATGTTGTCTCTATTCCCAACTTTGAAGAGAAGAAATTCTTCTCTATGGCCCACTGAGACAATTTATTTGGTAGTTCTATGAAACAATTGCTGAGAATGCTTGGAAAAGGAATTATATTTAGAAGTAATATGAGCACACAGACTGCATAAACTATGCCCACCAGTTAAATGGAACTGGATGATCTTACCAAATTCACTGCTACAGTAAGCCTCTACTTCCTCACGTTCCCTCTTGCAACCAGTCAAGCATACTTCTAGACTGTCAACGTCTAGAATAAGAACCAAAATGAATAGAAGTGAGAATGGGGGAGTGGGGAGATAGAGAGATCCACCTTAATAATTATAGTAATCAAGCAATGAAACATATGGATAAACTGTTCTCTGAAGACCCTTAGTTACTTTTAATATGTTCCAGAGACCATCAGAATTTAATATTATATTTAATCCTGTGGCCTTGCTTAGCATGATAATGGTTTGCACTGAGTAAATAGAAGTTGTTGCTGGTTAGTTTTGCTGAATATAGCAGCCTTCCCCAGTAGATACTCTCCAGATAGAAGCAAGTCAGCAGCTACCATACTTAACTTACAGTATTAACTGTATCGCTTCACTGCAGTAAAAACACCAAATCAAAACAAGGGATACTGTTAGGAGGAATAATAAATTGGTTTATAAATTAATAATTTATTTTTTCTGCGCTTAATGACCTGATCCTACATGTACTTATTTGGAAGCCAGCCCCAGTGACTTCAGTGAAACCTCAGAACAGATATTGGATTAAGATCAGTCCTGTCACTCATGACACCATGCACCCAGAAACAGAATTCTTCTCTCATATTTCCTTACCAATCTTAAAGACGCTGAAGTCATTCAGTGAGCTTGGACTCTGTCGGTTTGTGAGCCAATAGGGTTTAGTGATATTTTGGAGGAAACCATTGAGTTTGTGGTAAGGGTTTTTATTCCCTGGCCGGTTGAGGTGATCCAAGTCACTATAGTGTTGACCAACATTTGACCCTGCGTTTTTAAACATAGATGCTTCTGCCAGAAGTCTGCCTTGGCAATGGGAGTATCCAGGTGGGTGGAAGTAGGTAGAGATGCGGTTGGCAGATTCCAAGTGAAGCCTGTTTCTGCTGATTGGGTTCCTTTGACTCAAGTAAGTGGCAGAAAGAGATGCTTCCTCAAGACTAATGGAAGGAAGGCTTTTGACATGCTGAACAGACTGCTTCTGTAAACCTGTCTGATTCTCTGCTGATTTTTTCACATTTTTCCTTTTATCCAAGAGCAGCTGGAGTGTGTTTAATGCTTTTGCTTCCAAAGGATTCCACTCATCCTGAGGTAGGAGCTGGTCCTTCCTGTGCTCAGCCCTGATAATGCTGCTACCTCGGAGAGACTTGTTCTGGGAAGGAGACCCATAAACTTCCTTGCTGAATGTCTGCATAGATTTTCCAACATGAGGCAGGGTCCCTGTGTTCCAAAAAGCAAACAAGAGAGTAAAAGAGAGACGTTAAAGGATGAGAACAATGATCCATAATGTGAGTTCTAAAAGCATGCCAAAATTATGTGGCCTTCCTCACTGAACTCTTCCTTGAAAAGACAATATTAGTAAGAAACTGCTTAGACTCTTGGAAATAAAAGCTATGTTAGAGGGAAGTGGGTTGGAAAGGGGAGCAATGAATGCTTGGCTTTAAATGTGAGACTTACTTGTCCTTTTATTTGCTAATTGCAAAGCCTTTGGATTGGGACAGGCAATATATTTACACAAAGTAAGTATTGTGTGGTTTTTGTGCTTCTGAAGGATCTGGAAGGTCCTGTAATTGCTGTACCAACAAATCAGATTTGGCCCCTTCCCATCCTGCCTCTCCTTTGTCTTCCTTCATAGCACATTGAGATAATTGAAATAGCAGTCCTGAGTGATAAGGCACTGTTGTAATATCTGAACAGGGGCTGAGTCAGGCTTGATTCTGTGACAGTGCTTGAGTTCCAAAACCCAGTCTTAGCAATTAATGTCAGGGTGGAAACTCAGAATCAAGTAACTGCAAGAGGCAATATTCTAGTAGACAACATCTAGTTTCATCAGCCACCTTGATCATTCTTTGCATGGTTGAGAGGACTGGGAATTGTGCAACAAATCTGGAGGGCATCAGAGAGAGGAAGATTGCAGATCTAGAGCAAGCACAGATCTGTGAGTTGCTCTAGTATACCAAGAGTTGAAGGTGTACTACAGGGAATGTTGTAGCATCTTTCAGCTAAGACTTCATTTGCACAAAGTTTATTTAACAGGGGTGGGGGGGACAGCCCTGCAGTAGCATGAAGATCTAACATTTTTTCCTGTTTGTGCTACAAATTAAAAACACAATTTATAAACAAAACTGTCTCTAAAAAAAGAAAACTGGATGTCTAGGGAGCATCCGGGGAGCAGGGTTCACATCATATCCTGGTCTGATTGTTTAAATGTATATGACAAACATGACTGTTTAGTTTTCCCATCCATGGGAAACCTTGTTGACAATGTCATTTGCCTTATTCAAGGCCTGTCACCAGCTTTGCATGGTGATGGATAATAATTTAGACCTAAAGGCCCAGGTGAACAAAGCAGTTGTTCAAGAACTCTCCAGAAGACCTTCAGAGTTCATCTACTTTGACTCACTTTATTCAGATGTCATATTTACTGGTTTGACATCTCAAGCAAGAATGTTTAAGACTGCACTGCTAATGAACTTGGATTTATAGAATATGCAGCAGGATTCTTGGTTTCTAAAACTGCCATCCATAGGTTTCCTTTTTCCTATTTAATTTGAAAATAAAATTTAAAGTAACGCCTTGAAGCCTGTCCACTTTGACATAACTATCCTAAGCAAATTAGATAAATTATAAACTTCTGTAGATATATGGTGGATTTAAAAAAATAATTATTATAGCAAACTACATCATTTATTTGCAACAAGAGTGGGAAAGAGGGGGATCATGAAATATGATTTACAAAGCAAAGAATGATTATTATGATCACCAGTTTCATTTTCCATACATACATTTTGTTATTCCCATGGACATTACATTTTCAGTACAATGAAGTTGACGTTTTCCCAGGCAGAACAAATTGTGGATGGATCACTGTAATTATTCCAACTTTTCTTTCCCACCTTAGATGCAGTTTGTCAGTAAATGGAACTTTTGATTTTAAAAAGTATATAAACATATACACAAACAAACCTTACATGGTTGGCTCACAGTTCCCATGGCTGATTCTGACGGCTGGTTCAACTCTACTTCCAAAGTCTCCTGTCTGTTGACTTCATCATTTATTTCTCTCTTTCCCATGACAACAGCTGGTGAGAACAAAGATTGCCTGGTCCCGCCTGTGAAAGCAGAACATTGCCATGAAGTGAAGAAAGATTAATGTGAAGAAGCAGAGAATACAATCCTGGAGGCAGCTTTTCCACCTCAACATGTTTCTTTCTGTTCATTTCTCCACCCCATCAACATCATTCTTCTTTGATCAACCAAGCCCTTCATTTTTGTTGTGCCTGAGATTATCACTGTCATCACAAAATTTGAAGGGAGAGATGAAAGATTAGGTTTTAATCAAATACTGTTTTATTTATGTTAATGTTGTATAAGAGAAGGCTCTTATGTACACACTATCAGTCACCCCATTTATAGTATAGGAGTTATGGGTTCATATTTTATTTGTGCAAAATGTGTTATGTGTGTGTGAATCAGAAACAATCAGGACTGCATAAGCTTCTTTCACAGCGTTGGTTGACTTTAATGAAATACACGGTCGGACTGAAAAAAGAAAGCCAGCAAGCAATGTTTTGTGAACTTTAGAACGCAGACATTGGGAGAAACCTGGATTTAAGGTACCGTTCAGCCGCCAGATCCAAAACCTTCAGCCTAACTTAGATTGCTGGATGCTTGACAAAGAAAAAAAAATGAGGCTTGCCCTGAAATTGTTGGGAAAAAGCCAGAATAAAGCAGTAATAAGAGTACCCCTCCCCAAGATATTTCCAAGGACAACTAATTACCCTCTTCTACAAAGGGTTGCTGCCTAATTTGTTTTAGTTAATTCCTTCTAGACAAGATAGAAAAAAATATAGCCTGTTTAACGCTGTTTTAGATTAACCAGATTGCTTAAATCATTGCTCAACTTATTATTAAATGGAGGGGGGCACGGAATCTGGGTGGTTAAGAATAATGTCACAAAATGAATTTAAGTGACCCGCAGCAGAGTTCAGGGCATATTTACTCAGAAATAAGCCCAGTCGAATTCAATAGCATTCAGCTGTCACCCGGCATTGCCCAGGATTGCAACTTTCATCACAGGCAGGAGAGATTAACAGGTTCTACCCACAACTTGCCCTCCACCCTCTTTCACAACAGAACCACAGAATGTATTTTTTTTCCCAAAAGTCATATTAATTTATACTTGCGGTAATGCAGAATTTAATTAAAAGTCTCTCTCTCTCCCCTTCCACAACTGGGACAACTAAGAGAAAAATTGTTGGTTCTGACAGCACTTATTTGTTT